ATATCCACACGTGCCTGCCCTGGACACCCCACCCATACCAAGAGAAGGCCCTCGGGGATCCACCCAAAGCCTTTTTGCACTTGCCTTCTCCCGGATAGGAAATGCAGGTGCAGGGAGGTGGGGAGGACGGAGGAGGTTTCCCAGGGCCTCCTCCAGCCACCCATCCTGGTAGAGGGGATTCCGCTTTTGGAGACTCTACTTACTCCCTTACGAACAGGAAAATACACTCCTATTTGCATGGGATTGAGAAACAGGGTCTCTCTGCAGCCCCTCCCGTATCTGAAGTTGCCGCAGAACTAGGATTGGGGTCGGGCAGGGGGGCTCCCAGACCAGGCGTAGGGGCGCGGGGGCCTGTGGCGGAAGAAGCCCCTGACTAGATGCCAGGCAATCCTGGATCCGGTCCTGCTCTGGGTTTGTGCCGCAGAGTGAACTTGAGCAGGAGGAGTTGAGCCCTCCAAACCGAGGTTTCCGCCTCTACCAAATGGATCTGAGGAAGCCACCCAGGGGTGGGGGGCTAGACTCCCGCACTCTGGGTCTTCATTTCTTCATCGGTACACTCAGTACTCCTCACGGGCTGGAGGCTCCAAGAAGATATTATCCATCAAAACAATTTTTTTTTTTTTGTCGTAGTAAAACACACTCAATATGAAATTTGCCATCTTAACCGGTTTTTACGTCTACAGTTCAGTGGCATTAAGTACATTCACCTGTTGAACCCCAAGAAGATACAGTCCTTTAAAAAGTCCTGTTCAGGGACGCCTGTGTGGCGCAGTCGGTTAAGCGTCCGACTTCAGCCAGGTCACGATCTCGCGGTCCATGAGTTCGAGCCCCACGTCAGGCTCTGGGCTGATGGCTCAGAGCCTGGAGCCTGTTTCCGATTCTGTGTCTCCCTCTCTCTCTCTGCCCCTCCCCCGTTCATGCTCTGTCTCTCTCTGTCCCAAAAAATAAATAAACGTTGAAAAATAAAATAAAAAGTCCTGTTCATTCCCCACCCTTCCCCCTTGTGGCCCACACCTGTGCTCGGTGTCATCTCTGCCCTTGTTCCTGTCGCCCTGAGAGGTGCCATGATTTAGGGATTCCTCTCTCTCCCAGGCTGGGGTGATGTTACAGAGTGGCGCGGCAGGGCCAGCCACCATGGGCAACGCTGTTGGGGCAAACTCGGGGCATCACTGGTTGGGCCCTGGTGGGCGTGTGGTCCAAAGCACACACCGTACATTTCAGCTCATTCATTCAAGTCACTTATCCCTCCTGAGAGCTTTGGGGGAGGGCACCACTGTTATCTCCATTTTGGAGATGAGGAAACTGAGGCAAAGGGAGGCTATGGGACTTGCCCCCCAACACTCTGCCTTGTCACGTTACTGGCAGAGATGGGAATTGAACCCAGGCGCTTGGGCAGGGCTGCACTGCTGTCCTCCAAATCATAAACCATTTGAACTTAAACTTTTTACTCGATGCCAGCACTCTACCCTGTGAAATTTACTATGAAAGTGGTCCAATTTTGCTTCCATTGCAAGTTCTCTTCTGTTCGCACACCTTCATTTAGAGAATCCTAGAACCTTCTCCACTGGCGGATTGCTAAGTGAATCATTAGGTTGAATGCACAATTGCTTTATTACAATCCCCTTGTCCTCGATTTCCAAGTGGTGTCTGAAATTACTGAATCTAAATTAGAGCGCAGAATATTAGCCCTTAAAAATAACTAGTGCTTGTAAGAGTCATCAGAAAGATCCCTGTTAACTCTTTGGATGACTCATTAAGTAAAATAACTGGGTCCAATTTAAGGCTCTTTCTCTCCAGCCTATTAAGGATTCTCGGGGTCTGGGATACATATCAGTTTAAAATCAACCAGCAGAGTTGGGAGAGTGCAAACCTCCATGGATTTGACAGTTACCAGATTGCTGGGGGCTTGGTTTCCTTGTCTGTAAATGGGGACCACCTCATGGGGATAGTACGAAGATTAATGAGTTGGCTGTCTAAATAGTGGCTGGCCCCCACAGTAAGCATTAGATCATGTGAACAATTATTACTGCCTCAGCTGAGCTGGCTGCTTTCACGGACGGCTTTGGTTCACCAGGAGTTCACCTTGAGGCCATGTGACCGGACCCCATCTTTTATGATGAAAAGTTTCAGGCATACAAAAAGGTTGGAAAACTATCATTCATAAACAGCCTTACATCCACCACATAGACTCAACAGTTGTTAATGTTGTGCCATTATCTTGCGTATTTGTGTGTTTTCTTCTGAACATTTAGAGGAAGTTGCTAACATCATGACCTTTCACTGAGAAATTCTTTTTTTTTCATGTTTATTTATTTATTTATTTAGAGAAAAAAAGCACGCGTTCGCGCACAACTTGGGGAGGGACAGAGAGGGAGGGAGGGAGAGAATCCCAAGCAGGCTCTGCACTGTCAGCACGGAGCTCGATGCTGGGCTCAATCTCACAACCGTGAGATCATGTCCTGAGCCAACATCAAGAGCCCAGACGTTTAACCCACTGAGACACCCAGGCACCCCTCACTGATAAATTCTTCAGCATGCATCCTTTAAGAAAAAGATACGCTCCTAAGCAGCCAGCAAAGGTAATAATTCCATAGTATCCTCTAACAACCAGCCCATAGTCAAATTTCCCTGGTCTCAGCAGAGGGGTGCCATCAAATTTTGGATTTTTGGCAATCTGATGGATGAGTCTCTCAGTGTAGGTACAATTTTCTTGTCTCTTATGATTACGAGTGAGAATCTTTTTACATGTTCAAGGTCCTTCAGCAATTCTGTTTCTGTGATCTACCTGCTCATGATTTTTGCCCATTTTAAGATCATATTTTTGCTTTTTCATCTCTACTTCTAATCACTCCTTATATATTGGTGAAATTAGCCTTTGTTTTTAAGTTACAGATTGTCTCCCATTTGTATTTTTTTAAAGCTTTTCTCGCTTATGGTTAGGTTTTTGTTTGTTTTTTGCCATGAAGAGCTTTTTAAAAACTTTGCTTTAATTTTATGTAGTTGAATGTTTCAACTTTTTCTTTTATTGTTTCTGAATTTTGACTCCTAACTCAAAAGGAGTTATATCCCTATCACTTCTGAGTTATGAAGGAATCCCCTCAGTTTTCTCCCACAAGTTGTAAGGCTTCATTGAAAAAACCTGAATCTTTGGGGGCACCTATGTTAAGCGTCTGACTCTTGGTTTCAGCTCAGGGCATGATCTCATGGTTCGTGAGTTCAAGGCCCACGTGGGGCTCTTTCCTGACAGTGCAGAGTCTGCTTGAGATTCTCTCTCTCTCCTTCTCTCTCTGCCCCTCCCCGTACTTGTGCATTAATGTGTGTGTGTGCGCGCGAGCTCTCTCTCTCAAAATAAATAAATAAATTAGTTAAAAAATCTGAATCTCTGGTCCATTTGGTATTTATGTTTGGTCTGAAGTTTGAGTCTACTTTACCTTTTGTTTTTCAAAATGGCTATTCAATTGCCTCAGGGTCATTTTTTTTAAAAGTCCGTCATGTCCTAGTGATTTGAGTTGTTACTTTCGCCATACGTCAAATTTCCATTTGTAGTTGGGCAAATTTCTGGATTTTGGATTCTGTTCTGTTGCTCTGTCTATTCATGTTCCTAACTATACCATTTTAATTGTAGAGACTTTATGGCATTTTTAAATATCTGGTCGGGATAACTCCTACCCCGCTGCCTTTCTTTTTTAGTTTTCCTGGCTATTCTTGATTGTTTATTATTTCATATCACCTTCAGAATCAACTTGCTTAACTCCAGGGAAAAAAATTAAAAAAAAAAACATCTTCAGTATTTTCATGAAGAGCATGTTAAATGGATCTCATATTTACATGAGCCAAATGGACATCTTTATGGTATTGAGTCATCCGATCCAAGAACGTGTTATTTTCAGGGGGGCTCTTTTTGGGGGGCACAGGCTTTAAACAGGTTGACTTGTGTCGCTCCCAAAAGGTATACTGAAGTCCTAACCCCCAGTACCCAGAATGTGACCTTATTTGGAAATAGAGTCTTCACAGAGGCCATTAAGTTAAAATGAGGTCATTAGGCTAGGCCCTAATCCAATATGACTGGTGTCACTCTACAAAGGGAAATTTGGACACAGACACGAGCACAGGGAGAGCACCACGTGAAGGCAGACATCAGGGTGATGTCCCTGAAAGCCAAGGAACACCAAAGACCTCTAACAAGCCACCAGCCACCAGGAGAGGGGCTTGGAACAGATTCTCCCTCATGGCCCTCAAAAGGCACCAGCCTTTCTGGTACCTTGGTCTTGGACTTTTGGCCTCCAGAACTGTAAGACAAATTTGTTTCTGTTTTTTTGTTTTTGTTTTTTTGTTTGTTCATTTTAAGAGAGCGCCAGCACAAGACAGGGAGAGGGGGAGAAGAAGAGAGAAAGAGAATCCCAAGCAGGCTCCATACTCAGCGTGGAACCCCATGCAGGGCTCAATCCCACGACCCTGGGATCATGACCTGAGCTGAAATCAAGTCAGATGCTCACAACTGAGCCACCCAGGTACCCTGACAAGTTTGTTTTTTTAAATCCACTTGGCTAGTGGTGCTTTGTTACAGCAGCCCTAGCAATATACTAGAGCCCACTTCTCTTAGGGCAGGAGGGAGCTGTCCACCCACTACTTCAGGACATGGGGCAGCATTTGTGTGCTTTCCTGTCCCTGACCCTAAGCAAGCCCAGCCGGGTCTGTTTCTTGCCTGCCTGAGGTTGGATGTGTGAGCCAATGAATGCATTGGAAAGCTGGAGGTGTGACTTCACTCTCAATGGGTGGCCAAACCCATTGAGGTCAAGGCCAATGAATGAGTCATCTGTGCAATGTGGCTCAGTGAGTCAGGGAGCGTCAGGCACAAAGCCCAAGTTTGGGGCCTATTTTCTCTTCCCTTTCCTCTGGAACCTAGAATCAGCCCCCTAAAAGTCATCAACCCCAGAAATAAACAGTGAAATAGTGTAACACATCACCTTCTTGACACACCCATTGTGTGCTGGGGAAAGATAAGGACAAAGGACTTAGAAAACAGAGAGAAAGAGTATGAGGCACCCAGCCGTGACACTTACTTGCTGTGTGCCTTTGGATGGGTTAGTTAACTTCTCTGGCCTCGGTTCCTCTGTCTCTTCACATGGGGGTTGGTAATGTTACCTGTCGCACAGGGTTAGTGTCACCATACAAGGAAATGAACACAAAGGACTTAGCAAAGGGCCAGGCTCAGGGCAAGAACTCAACAGAGATTGGCAACGATTATGAATAAGAACTGCCCCTAAGTAATGTACCCACAAAGGCAAAACTGTGATCCACAACTGTCAAGTTTTCACCTGTGATTCTGAACATTCTGCAGGTAACTCTTCCCCCTCCTTCCCTCAGGGAAGAGTTTGGAATAGACCAGCCATGATCTCATTTGCTCCCTCCAACATTAATTAGTGTTTTCTAATTATGAAAAGGAAATTATGTCTCAATTCATACTCTAAGAGAAATTAACAACAGAAAGGTGTCATTTCTTAAGGTGGCGTCAGTTCTCCCCCGCCCGCCCCCCCCCCCCCAGCAGCCTGGGGCGTGGCTTGGGGCTATGTTGGCAAGCTGTGTCCTCGGCTCAGGGACAGGTCTGAGTCATGGAGGCCCTGCTACTTCCTGGTCCTGTTCCTGGGCTCATCTTCACGGGTTTGTTCAACAAACCTGCTTTGAGGTTTGTGCTGGGGACCAAGAGAGGCAAAGAAACCGTGTCCTTGCTCCCAAGCTAGTGGGAGAGACAGAAATGGTCAGCTATGGAGACCGTTCAACACAAGATGCTGGGGCTTCATCTGGTCCCACAGCAAATCTGAGAGTTGGTCTCTTGGGTTATTGCTGCCCCATTTTACAGGGGAAGAAACTGAGGTTTCCGGAGGAAAGTGTTCGATAATCAAGGCCCATCTCTCAGAGAGACATTTTATCCAGACATTTCTATTTCACATCAGTCCTTCTGTCTCCAGGTAGACCTCCCCTTCTTTGGGTATCTTTCCCTCATAACCTTCTCCCAGCTGGGTGAGGGTCCCTTTTTTGGCCTCCCCAACCTGTACTCTGGCACTTAGCACCTGGCTTGTACTTACTTACTAACAAGTGAGGCCCTCTGTGAGAATGTTTGTTAATTGAATGACGGCAGTGTTTTAATTTCTGTCCATCGCGAACCTTTTACTTTGCTGTATTCTACCGGATCTAAGATGTCAGCAATTCTAAGTCTCCCTCACTAGTTTATGCACCATTAAGAAAGAAAAATGTTGCTAATTAGCTATGTAAATTAACTATGATATGCTTCTGATCGTAAGTCATGTAAGGAATATTAAAATATAAAAAGATGTGCCTTAGATTCCATGAGATATATTACAAAAATCAATTACTGCTTTTAAACACATCCTAGGGGAAGAAGATGCTATAAATATCCACATATTAATAATAACAAGGTTTACTAAACACCCTCAGCCAGGCATTGTTCTAAAGCAGTTTTCATTCATGATCTCATATCAGGGGTTGGCAAACTTTTCCTGTAAAGGGACGAAGGTAAATATTTTAGGCTTCGGGAGCCAAAAAGCATCACAACTATTTACCTTCCACTGCGGTGCGAAAACAGCCACAGAGGATATGGAAACCAACAGGTATGCGTGTGTTCCAGAAGACTTGATTGACGGACACTGGAATTTGAATGTCATACAACTTTCATGTATCACAAACTATTATTCTTGTTTGATTTTTTCCACAACCGTTTGACCTATAAACACCATTCTTGGCTTGTGAGTTGTACCAAAAGAAGGAGTGGGCTAGATTTGGGTCAGGGGCTGTAGTTCAGTGACCCCTGTCTCACATCAACCCTACAAGATGCTATTATTATCCTTATTTTACACATGAGAAAATTGAGTCTCTGAGAGGGTAGGTAACTTTCCCAAGGACACACAGCTTGTGAGTGGTCAAGCTGGGATTCTAACCCAGGCAGTCTAACTTTGTATCTTGTCTTTAACAAGTTACCCTAAATAGAGTGACTATGGTTTACCCTAAATACCGGTGCCCTCTCCTGTTTTTCACTCTTTCTCCTGATCATAATAGTTCCACTCTTGTGCTGAAAAATTCAAACCACACAGAGTTATAAGGAAGAAAATGAAAGTAACTCCACCCTCCAGAGATAAATGCTTACGGGTGTTGAACACACAGCTTTCACAATGCTGACTAGATTTAGAACATTCTGAACACTGTGTGACTTTGGAGAGGTTGCCTAACCTCTCTGGGCCCTTGTCTCTCAAGTGAGGGAGCTGGCTCCCATGACGCAGCCCTGCAGGCCCTCTCAGGCCTGACCCTGGATTTGTGTTTGGAAGGATTGCACAAGAGCAGCTGGCTCTGTCCTCACTGCTTGGGTGTGGAGGTGAAGTCACCCATTGCCAGCGCCTCAGGATGGGTCAATTGGTCGCCTCCGGTGGCTCCCCCAAATCCCAAGCACTGAGTGACTTCGGACAGCAGGGACACCGGGGCCTGACTCGGGCGTCCTAAGAGGTTCAGGCTCCCTCCAGGGATGGTGCCAGGCAGCCTTCTGCCCAATGAATAGAGCTCCAGGCAAGCAGGGAGTCAGAGACGTCAGCCAGCAAGCCTCGGACGGAACGGGCACAGGCAGAGGCTTAATAGACGGAGGCTCCTGCGGCGGGAGGCCTGGGCCCCATTCCATCTCTCAATCAGACAGGGCCAGGGTTTGGATCTGTGGCTGATGATCACCAGCTGCGTGACCTTGGGCACATTCCCTCTCTGAGCCTCTCTCCTTGCCTGTGTAACGGGGAGAATAACCACCTCGGGGGATCACTGATTAGTTCTTCAGACGATACTGTAATGAGCTGGCACAGAGGAGAGGCTTAACAAATGGCTGTTTCTGTCCCCTTCTCTTCATATACTTTCCGAGAGTATGCTTGTATCTATTTATTTTTAAATGTTTATTTCTTTATTTTGAGAGGGTGGGGGGTGGGGGGAGAGAATCCCAAGCAGGCTCCTCGATGCTGGCACAGAGTCCAGTGCAGGGCTTAGGCCCACGACCCATGAGATCATGACCTGAGCTGAAACCAAGAGTCATACGCTTAACCCACTGAGCCACTCAGGCGCCCTTTGGCAGTATGCTTTGCAAAAGTTCTTCCACCGTGCCGCAGATTACGACGTACTCTATGTCAGGGCTGCATCCAAGGGAGTACAGGTGTGGAGGCCCACAGAGGAGAAAAACAGTCCCTGCCCTCAAGCAACTCAGGGAGGGTAAGATAAGGATCTAAGAGACTTTTATACAAATAGAACCTTTGGACAAAGTCCTCCAGGGTTCAAGGGAAAAGGGTGGAGAAACCAGGGAAGGCTTCCTGGAGATGTCACTTTGGCTGAGTCTTGGAGGATGGAAAAAAGATATGGCTGAGCCCAGCGCGAACAGCATCCTGGCCCGGAGAGGGGGAGCAGTGTGAGCAAAGGTGTAGGGGTGGGGACACAGGCCCACTGAATTTGCCTAGAGAACCAGAGAGCCAATGACAGTAGCTGGGGGGGGCGGGGGGTGGGCCGGATGGATGGGTGAGGACAGGGGTGGTGCGCTTTGGATTTGGTGGGAAAGGCGGAGTCTTGGAGGGTACTGAGCGAGGACAGAGGCTGTCTGACAGCCTGGCCAAAGACCTATGGATTCTGAAAGAGAACATGAACAGCAGGAGCCAGCTCCCTCTCCTGAGAGCACCCGTTCTGGGTGTGACCCACCCAAGGCCCTTTCTCACACATGGTCTTCCTTAGTTCTAGACGGATAGTATTCCCAGTTTACCGGCAGGGAAACCAACGTTGACAAATATTAAGCTGCTTGCCGGAGCTCACAGAGTAGCCAGTGAGCTGGGCTGCTCTTGGACTATAATCTGTGAGAGTGCCACCCTCTCTCCTTCTGTTACGCCAGGACAGATCCAAAGTCCGTTCTGAGGGCTGGATTTGGACAGGGCTTGTAGGGTAGTCATTGCTATTATCACCATCACAGGAAGGAGGGAGTGGAGGCTCAGCAAGGGAAGTGACTTAGTCAAGGCCACATGTTGAGGGTGGGGAGTCCAGGCCAAGCCTTCAGAGTTCAAACCCTTCCCATTACCCCCCACTGCCTCCGGGTTTATTTCTAAGCACATCTAAAATGGAAAAGAGCCCAGGGGCACCTGGGTGGCTCAGTTGGTTAAGCATCCGACTTTGGCTTAGGTCATGATCTCACGGCTGGTGAGTTCAAGCCCCGCATCGGGCTCTGGGCTGACAGCTCAGAGCCTGGAGCCCGCTTCAGATTCTGTGTCTCCCTGTCTCTCTCTGCCCCTCCCCTGCTCATGCTCTGCTTTCTCTCTCTCTCTCTCTCTCTCTCTCTCTCTCTCTCCTTCAAAATAAATAAATATTATAAAATGAAATAAAATGGGAAAGAGCCCAGGTCAGAAAGGCCCAGTTCTTTCCCGAGTCAATACCCATAATTCATACTCCTTTATGCCCTGCCAGGCCCACAATTCCAGCCCCCCTACCATCACCAAGTCTAGATCATGTTGGGCATCTCTTGGACTCAATCCCCAATAAGAAGCAGCATCTCCACTGCCTGGACTGAGGTCTTCAGTGGCTACACCTTTACCACCACACTTCCTGAACAGAGCCACTGTGTTGGTTGGTCTCAAGGAGGGACCTTTTCCTGAGCTGCGCCTCTATCCCAACTACACCTACCAGTGACTTGTGGTGATCTTCTCCCCAGGTTCTGATGCCAGACCCCGAAACACACGGTGGATGATGATATAAGAACTGCTTGCTGGGAAGGGGAAAACCAAGAGGTTTAGTGAATCATAGTGAGAAGGGGTAGGGTAGGGTCTGGGTTCCTTACAGTTACTGTCCTCCCACTTGGGCCTCAAACCACACAGAAAGTAGACCGTTGTAAACCCATTCTACAGATGTGGGCTTAGAAGCCCATAGGGGAAGAGATTAGCCTAGGGTCACCCAGAAGCAAAATAACAGCACGGGGGTTCAAACGATGCTCTTTCCAGAAAAAGATAAAGAGGAAAACCCACAGAGCTCAGCAGACACCTGACTCCAGGGCCAGACTGTGCCACCAGCACTATAATAGCTGTATAAAAAAAAGTTTTCTTTTTTTTAAATGTGGGTAGAGGAATATATAATGAATGCTGTTGGTTAAAAAAAATGGGGCAGATAAAGCTGGTATGCTGTGAAAAGTCAGCAGCTGTAATATTTTATGATTCAATGCAAAAAATATGTTGAGTTCCTCAGCTGAATAAGTGGTATAAACAAATAATTTTTTCTTTCTTTCCCCTTTTTTTTTTAAGATACAAGGAGGGTATTGCCATTATCTGAGGACCTCTTTGCTGTCCTCAGACAATGTTAATCTGAAGGTAGAAAATGCCCTTAACAGCACTCAACCCTGAACTTTTCTAGAACGTAGGCAGAAAGTTTGAGCATGTGTAGACACGGAAGCTAAACAAGGCAAATGCAGAAGTCGCCTCTGGTGATAGTCCACAGATCAACGATACACGGTACATGAAATCCCCATCCCATCCCCCCTCTCTGCAACAGAGGGGAAGAAACCGCAGAATGTTCCTGACTCGGCACCCTGGCGGGGTGGCGCAATATTTATGTTTGTGTACCTAGCACAACGGTGCCGCCCTCCACTGCCCAGGGGGCCGTCACTGACGCTGTGCGGGTGGCCGCACGGGGTCTTCCCAAACGTTTGTCCTGGACTCTTGAAACGCCCTAGGACTGGATTTCGGATTCAGTCCGTAGAGATGACAAGAGTCAGGGCTTGGGGGTTGAAGCCCCTGCGTCCAGCTCATCCTAAGCGCCCTAACAGTATATACTCGTGGAGTAGAGACCTGGAGAGGCTCGACCTATCTTAGGCGAACGCGACCAGAAACGTGTCCTGTGACCTCTGGGGGGCGCTGTCGAGCCACGCTGGGGGTCGCCTCCCCAAACGCCGAACCCCGAAATCCACGACACCTTGCGATCCCATACTTGAGATTTCAGCCCTCTTACTCGCCTTTCTCGGCTCAAAGTCCACTAGAACTACTTGCCTGGGGATAACTTGTTCCCTGTGGTGCTTCGATTGGAAGGCATTTGACTTGTTAAATGTATGTTTTTCTAAAGTAGCCGGAGAGCAAATCTGGAAAACAGGAAAACTTTTCCCTGAACTTACTTCTCCACCCCAACTCACCCCGGTTATCCTTAGTAGGAACGACATTTCCACCGACAGACTTGTTAATTTTTCTCCAACCCTCATTTCAGTTCTTCTCTGTACCCCTACCCCCAGCATTGTGACATTGGTCAAGTAAATCGCTTCTCCTGGGGAGCCTGTCCGTGCCTGGTGGTGACGAGGCAATGAGCGAAAGGGGCACACGTGTATGCAAAAGCGCAGGAAGCCCCTTTCCGATCGGGGCTGTGGCGGAGGGGAGCGCGGGGAGGGGTGCAGGGAAGGGGGAGGAGAGGCTGCGGGCACGCCGCCGCTTGGATCCTTGAGGTCAGCCCTTGGCTGGCAGTCCTCCCGCCACCTCGCCTCTGGGCCCGGAGAGCGGCGCAGGCCGGATCCCCAGGGACACGCCAGGCGCAGGCCGGACGGCCGGACTGGGGTCGGAGCCAGCAGGCAGCCAGCGGATCCCGCTCCGAGGCCGATGACGTCTTCGCCTCGGGCTCCGCCGGCGCCAAGCCGGGTAGGGCGGGTGACGTCACCGCAGGTCACGTGAGCACCATTCAAACAAACAAACCCCCTCCCCCTGCGCGCCCGCTTCTCCCCGCCCCGCCCCGCCCCCAGAGAGGCCACATATAAACGCGTTCCCCCGGGCCGAGCTCGGTGCGAAGGACGCTGGGCTGTACGTGTGGTTGGGGCCGGAGGGGCAGTCAAGGTAGCAGCAAAGAAGCCGAGGCGGCTGAGAGTCCCGCACGACGCCCCCTCACTCAGTCTAAAGGCAGTTTGGGGTTCGGCGTAGAGAGAACCAGGGTCGGGCTCTTCCTCGAAAGCCGTTGCCCTGCCCTTGGCTTCCGAGGACAAAGAGCACCGAAAACAGGCACGCTGGGGGCGCTGGGGCCGGCCATGGTCATGGAAGTGGGCTCCCTGGACGCCGGAGGCCTGCGGACGCTGCTGCGGGAGCGCGCGGCGCAGTGCCTGCTGCTGGACTGCCGCTCCTTCTTCGCTTTCAACGCCGGCCACATCGCCGGCTCGGTCAACGTGCGCTTCAGCACCATCGTGCGGCGCCGGGCCAAGGGCGCCATGGGCCTGGAGCACATCGTGCCCAACGCCGAGCTGCGCGGCCGCCTGCTGGCCGGCGCCTACCACGCCGTGGTGCTGCTGGACGAGCGCAGCGCCGCCCTGGACGGCGCCAAGCGCGACGGCACCCTGGCCCTGGCCGCTGGCGCGCTCTGCCGCGAGGCGCGCGCCGCGCAAGTCTTCTTCCTCAAAGGTACGCCCTCGGGGAAGCTCGGGCGGCCGCATGCCCCCTCCCCTTCCCCGCCGCCTTGCCGCGGGACCCCCCCTGGCCCTCAGCCCCTGCGGGCCGCCTCACCGGGAGCGCGTGGGCGCCCGAGTCCTGTTCTGGGGACCCGGTGGCTTTGTTTGGCTTTAAGAACAAAGACTTGTCTGGGCCTCTCCGGGGTAAACTTCAGCCCCGGTGGGTGGGGGGAGTTGTGTGAAGGTGCCCTGTCCCGGATACTAATGGAAACAAATATGTCTCTTTGTCTTCCCAGGAGGCTATGAAGCTTTTTCAGCTTCCTGCCCGGAGCTGTGCAGCAAACAGTCGACCCCCATGGGGCTCAGCCTTCCCCTGAGTACTAGCGTCCCTGACAGCGCTGAATCAGGGTGCAGTTCTTGCAGCACCCCACTCTATGATCAGGTTAGTAGGGACCCGTGCCAGAGGGGGAAAGGAATAGCTGGCAAAGAAGAGCAGTACTAGTGAGAATATACAAAGTAACCTTCAAGTTTATAACGGAGGGGGCACAGGGATGTTATTTATCCCATGGTTAAGTGGTCTGATGGAACGGAGTCTAATTGCTGGCATTACAGAAATGAACTTGGTGGCTCTGCCCAGGCAAATGGGTTTATTACCCTATTTATTTATACTCCGGCAACAATACTAAATTCGCACAGTATCTGAAACTGACCTTTCCAGCAGGGAGTTTTTGTGGGGATGGGCTCCGGAATTGACTTTGTGCGAAGCTTGACAAGTGGATATTTCTGGATTTCAGGGTGGCCCGGTGGAGATCCTGCCCTTTCTGTACCTGGGCAGTGCCTATCACGCTTCCCGAAAAGACATGCTGGACGCCTTGGGCATCACTGCCTTGATCAATGTCTCGGCCAATTGTCCCAACCATTTTGAGGGTCACTACCAATACAAGAGCATCCCTGTGGAAGACAACCACAAGGCGGACATCAGCTCCTGGTTCAACGAGGCAATTGACTTCATAGGTAAATGGACAGATGCCTGGGACGTCTGCCTTGCTCCTCCCGTTTTAGTCACTGAGCCCAACTGTATGGCAAGGACTTGAATGACATTTGTCTGAGCCTTTCTCCGTACGTTAATATCAATCTGGGGCAGGCAGCATCCCTGCAAAATAGGCATTTCGTGCCCCATTTAATAAATTAGCAAATGGAGGTTCAGAACATGGAGTTGACTTACCCATTGGCTTCATGGAGATGCCTGGTTTTGGTTTAAATCCCTTGCTGTTCTTTGCACAACGCCTGTGTTGCCTCCACAGAACGCTGTGTGACGGCGTGACGTGATGTTGCCATTCTCTGGACAGGACACACGTTTCTTAGGCACCCTCTGCCTGGGGTTAGGGTTGTTCTCGTGAGCTCTTGAGTAACTGGCCACCCTTTGTTTTCCAGACTCCATCAAGAACGCTGGAGGAAGGGTGTTTGTCCACTGCCAGGCAGGCATTTCCCGATCAGCCACCATCTGCCTTGCTTACCTCATGAGGACTAACCGAGTCAAGCTGGACGAGGCCTTTGAGTTTGTGAAGCAAAGGAGAAGCATCATTTCCCCCAACTTCAGCTTCATGGGCCAGCTGCTGCAGTTTGAGTCCCAGGTCCTGGCCCCACACTGCTCAGCAGAGGCTGGGAGCCCTGCCATGGCTGTGCTGGACCGCAGCACCTCCACTACCACCGTCTTCAACTTCCCTGTCTCCATCCCTGTCCACTCCACGAACAGTGCATTGAGCTACCTTCAGAGCCCCATCACGACCTCTCCCAGCTGCTGAAAAGCCACGGGAGGTGATCTCCACAACCCCCCGGGGACTCTAGGCGCCCTGAGGAGAAATGCAATAACTCTGGGGAGGGGGCTCGTGAGGGCTGGTCCTTATTTATTTAATTTCACCCCCGAGTTCCACTGGGTTCCTGAGCAGTCATGGTGATGATTTAGCATCAAGGCGTTTGCTGAACTCAGCACGTTCGGGACCAATATAGTGGGTACATCAAGTCCCTCTGACAAAAAGGGGCAGAAGGGAAAGGACTCAGTTAAGGAGCCGGATTCTTTTTGCTTGCTCCCGTTTTTTGTAGGAACTCTTCATGCTTGACATACCTACCAGTATTACCATTCCTGACGACACACACCTATGAGAATATACCTTATTTATTTTTGTGTAGGTGGTCTACCTTCACAAATGTCCGTGTCTACTCCTAGAAGAACCAAATACCTCAATTTTTGTGTTTTGAGTACTGTAATACCCTGTAAATATGTCCTAAGCAGGTTTGTGTTCAGCACTGATGGAAAGCACCAGTGTTGTTGTTTTTTTTTTTAGTTGCCAGCAGTTGTATGTTTGATTATTTATGAACTGAAATAATATATTTCTTTTAAGAAAGACATTTTGTTACATAAGGATGACTTTTTTTTATACAACAGAATAAATTATGGCATTTCTATTGAAATCTCAATGCTTTGTTTCTTGGGCAGCCCCAACTGATCCCTTTCCCATCAGTGAAACAATCTGGACAAGGGCCTCCCTGACGTATGTCTTGGGATCTGGTCTCCTACTCCTTGGTGGCCCTTCCAGTCCAAGGTGGCTGGGTTGCAAGGAAGGTAGGAAAGCGATCTGTCGTGAAAAACCAGGTACTGTAGCTGAACTCTTAGTATCAGATCCAGGTGTCTATCCATGTATTCCTACCCTGTTACATAGGGAGCCCAAGTGTTCCCAGAGCCAAAAAGAAATGACCGTTTGCTTGGGTTGCTTTTTTAATTTAATACTTTGCCCAGGATAATATAAAAAGATGCCTTCTCCTTTCTGAGCCGTGCTAGAATTATGAGGATGATGGTTTTCCAAAACCGCTGACATAAATGTGGTCCTACTATGTGTAAGGTAGTGTGCTACCTGCTCCCAAAACAACTCAGCAGGACCGTTTTTGCAGACAAAGCTGCTGAGACCCAGCATAGCTAAGTGGCAGTGGGGGGGGGGGGGGGGGAATCAGGCCCTACATCTATCTGTTTTGTTCCCTAATTCTATGTGGTTTGCACTTTATCATTTGCTTCTCTCATGTGCTCCCTTTTTGCCTTTGAAAAGACTTTTATTTTTGTGAAAAGAATACGAAGCACTCTAAGTAAAATACAACATGGACAAATTGCCTGAAATTCCCACCCCCAACCTGACCATTATTCATGCTTTGGAGTACATCCATACCAGCATCTATCTATCTATCTATCTATCTATATATTATACACACACACACACATATATGTATGTGTGTATATATAATACATATATATATATATATATATATACACACATACACAGAATTTTTGGTGGCGGCCTCCTTCAGGTCACTTGCTAGTCTGATTTCATAATTTTGTTGAAGATAGGCAATCAGATCTGACTTGCTCTAGGGTAAGATCCTGGATTTTTGCTCTTGTCAATCAGGCCAAAACAGAGATGGTGTAATTGCCTACCAACTCCTAATCCAGTCTATGATGTTGAGTTAAATAACAGTCAAGCTCTTGGGTCACTGGTCCCTTAGCTCCTGTCCCCGCTACTTGTCTCTGGATGAAGTGATGTAGGAAGCAGAAAAGGAAACCTCTCTGTTGACTTTAGTAGTGCCCTGAACAGTGGTCCTGGTCCAGCCAGGTCATTTAAGGCCTTGACACACAATCAGTGTCCTTGACCTTTACCCACTGGTTTACCATCTGCCGCTTGACTCTCATGGCCTGAAAGATCCTTGTGTTCTAAGTTCTAAGAACTTACCCTGAGCTGGCAAGCTCATTTCCTTGGCTGGGCTTCCCATTGGAAGTGTGTTCGTGCCTTTCAAAACAAACCGTACCCAGTGTTTTTTTCAAACCCTAGAAATTTACTATTGCAAATATCTCCTTTCGTGGAAACCTACCAGCAACTTCAAGTCCATGGCAGATGCCGTGGCTGACTTCCCCCGTGGGCTCAGGCCATCACTTTCTGCTTAACAGGCACTGGCTGAACCAGAATTAATCTCCAGTGTAATCCACGCAGTGGAAAAATACAGCCGCTGCCTAGGGGAGCCGCCAGTGAAAACAATTCACTCACTTCGCCCAGTCCAAGCTGCCCCACTCCCGTCAGCTCAGGAGAGCAGGGTTGATAACCATCTTTCTTCTTGTATCCGATTCCTGGTCTTTGGGCCCTCCAGAGAATGTCACTTTTGGCCTGATACTGCTTTTCTTGGGGGGGGGGGGGGGGGAAGTACCTCGTGATGAGGAGAAAGATACTCAAACTATTAAAATGTTTGTTTCTCAATGGGAGATTGAAATAGAGACAACTCCATCATTTAATACTTACGATGTGGTAATAATAGCTCTCAATTTTAGAGCTACCACTGTGTTAACTGCTTCACACACCTTCACATTAAACCTTTAGCAGCAACACCCATTTTACAGAGGGGGAAACAGAGGCTCAGAGAGACGAAGGGACATGTCCAAATTCACACAGCAAGTAAACAACATCGCAGAGATTGGAACCTGGGTCGGAAAGACTGGGAACCAAAGTCCGAGTTCAGTCCAAACATCTTGAGGGAGTGGGGAAAGGATGAATTTTGTAGCCAACCAGACATCATCATGGTTTTACCACATAATTTTGGGGGTGGAAAAGCTATTTATCCTTTTGGGCCTCAGTTTCCATACGTGTAAAATGAAGTCATAAAATCTGCTTCACGAGTGAGGGGGAAATAGGCTCATGGATGGCAAGTGCCTGGCAGGTAATTGGCCCTGGAGGAACATTTAGCTCCCATTCCCCATTCCTAACGACTTCTAGCGGTTCTCTGGTGTCAGTTTTCCCACTCCAAAAATGACCAGTTTGCCCTGGATCTAATGGGTAAGATTCCTCCGGGTCTTAGAAGATGTACCAATGCATACTTTATGCTTTTCTGTGGTTTCCATTAGGATAGTTCCAACCGCAAACGCTTCCACCGCATCCTCTCCTTTCCTTGGAATTTTGCAAATCGTAGCTAATTTGCCTCCGACTTGCAGCCTCCGGAGGCCATTTCCCTCCCTCCCTCCCCAGCCCATCCAGGATGACATCATGGTGTGTACACCTTTAAGATTATATAAATCTGTGATCAGACAGGGGCCTCCATCCCCATGGTAACGCGGAGGAGTTTCCCTTTTGTGAGGAAAGCTGTCATGTCACTTCCTGCTGCTGACAAATCAGTTTAGGAGATTAAAATACAGGGAGGGGGGGTGCGGGGAGCTGGAGCAGGCCTCTGAGAACTGCCGGCTGCGGTGGTTTCTGGTTGCCATACACAGAGGCAAACAAAGCCGAGGCCACGCGGGGTAGCCCCGCCCAGCGCCAGGCTCCGGCTCCGGTTTCCCACCCCTCACCGGGTGGCGCCAGGTCACCCCGGGATGTTTTCCTTCGCAGGTTGCCTTCTGGGGAGCAGGTGGGAGGGCTGCCCACCTCTGGGGACTTTTCTGGGGCTCTGTAGGACCCGCCTGCTGGAGAACAGCCTCGGGGTCCAGAGGAGCCTCCGCGCCCCTCTTATCAGCTCAGAAGGCGGTTTGGTGCTCGGTTCTCCAGAAAACAAAGGGTTTGCGCCTTGGGGCACCAAGCAGACAAAAGGGCTCTGCTAAGGAAAATACCCTAAAACCACCTTTTTCTCCACGGTGGCTTTTTATGCTAAGCAGCAGGGCCGTTCATTCATTTATTCATTCATTCGTTCGTTCATTCATTCGTTCGTTCATTCAACAAATATTTATTGGCACCCTATGCCTAGGGACACTTTGGCCCAGGACAAAGTTCCCATTCTCAAGTAGCTAACAATGGGGGCAGGGGGTGGAGGGAGGGGAAGAAGGCAATATATAAAGAAGATCATTAAGAAATAAGATGAAGGGGCGCCTGGGTGGTTCAGCGGGTTGAGCGTCAGACTTGGCTCAGGTCATGATCTCATGGTTCCTGATTTCGAGCCCCACGTGGGGCTCTGTGTTGACAGCTCAGAGCCTGGAGCCTGCTTCGGATTCTGTGTCTCTCCCTCCCTCCCTGCCCCTCCCCTGCTCACGCTCTGTCTCTCTCTCTCAAAAATAAACATTAATTTTTTTTTTTTTTTAGATGAAGACGATGAAGGTGGAATAATAAAAGGGGAGGCTCCTTTAGATTTTGGTGGTCAAGGAGGCCTCTCTGAGAGGTGGTCAAGACCTGAGAGATAAAACCTACTTGCCCATTTGAGAGACAAGCTGGGAAGAGAGTTTCCTGCCAGGAGGGCAACAGAGACTTGAGGTTGGAGGGGGATCTTCATGGGCCACTAGATAGAACCAGTGACTGGGAGTCAGCTAGACCTGAGTTCAAGTACTGATTCTGCCACTTATTCGCTGTGTGACTCACTGTGAGTAAGTTACCAAACTCTTTAAACCTCGGTTTCCCTATCTGTCAAATGGGCCACTAACCACCGACCTTCAAAGGCTCTTCAAGGATTAAATGAAAGGTGGATTAAATGAAAGGCAGTCACCTCTGGGCACATCAGAAAGGCTTGAGAAAGGCTCTTTGTCCTCTTGTGATTTAGCTGCTCGCCATTCTGTCACTCAAGCAGCAGTGCCACTCCCCATGGTGTCCTGGTGAAAGGAAACAGGGAGAAGTGGACTGTCTTTCCCCATCCTGACAGATACCCTGAGCCTGTGCTCATATCATAGTTCCCTCTGGGGCCATCAGAGCTTTGTTTGGGGACAGCCTTTACTTGGAGACCACCAACCCTAGCCTATCGACTGTGGCGAGGTATGCCTTTTCTGGGCCTCAGTTTCCTCATCTGTAAGAAGCACCTGAAGAGACCTTCACGTGTTCTCCTTTCCCATCCAACTGCCAGCTCTAAGCGCCTGTCCTCATCCAAGCCTGGGAATGCTCTGGAACCACTGAGGTTCATTTGGGCTGGCTCAGGGAGACAGAGGGAAAAGGAAATAGACACTACCTGGGAAGGGGGCAGCAAGGGGTCTTGGACCTCTGGAAGACAGAGGTGTGATGGAGATGTGACTGGTCCCCATGGGAATGAGTCCCCATACAATCTCCTGCCAAGTATCACATTCTCCCAGCCCCCTTTTCTCCAACTCCGGGTAATCCTTTGCCATGGGCCACACGGCAAAGTTCGGGTTTAAAAGCTTCATTAAGGCTGACACCAACAGACCCTTGAAGTTGGCTGCCTCCTTTCTCATTCTTCATATATATTCATGTATCATTCATTCAACGGTTATGTAGTACTTACCTTTAGTTTGTAAAAACACTCCATATTTACCTCTCCACAGCCCTAGTCACTCTCTGGAATTTGTAAACTTGTCTACACTCCCTTGACCAGACTCACTTTGGCATATAATTCAAGGTCCTCCGAAGATGTGACCACTGCCTCCCTTTCCAGATCTTTTTTTTTTTTTTTTTTTCAATCCCAGCTCCTGTCCTCCACGCACATTGAGACTTGTAGTTCTCATAACAGGATATGCTCTTTCTTGCTACCCTTACCTCTGCACCTGCTAGGCTTTTGCTTGAATGCTCAAAATGTCTCTTGCTCAAATATCACCAAATCCATAAAGCCTTCTTTGACCTTTAAGACTCTCTTATCTGTCATCGGTATTCTGAAAACGTATAGCTTTCATCCCACTGCTGTGACCAAGGGTCATAATCCAACTGCCCCCTGGGCCAGGTAGGCCATATAACTGAGAATTGGGCCACTGGGGACTGTGGTGACATAGGAAGTTCATGCTCTGTACTACAGGGAAGCTGCCAATCAAGGCGGAAACGGAGGCCCCGGTGTTGCCAAACCTTACTGTGTTTGTTTTGTTTTGTTTTGTTTTTTCAGAGAGAGAGAGCATGGGAGTGGGGGGAGGGGCAGAGGGAGGGAGAGACCATCTCAAGCAGGCTCCACGCTCAGTGCAGCCCAATGCAGGGCTCAATCCCACAACCCTGGGATCATGACCTGAGCTGAAATCGAGCTGGACGCTCAACCGACTGAGCCACCCAGGCGCCCCTGGACCTTACTATTTGTAGTAAGGAAGCCAGGAATCGGTATTTTAACATAAAATCTTTTTTCAGAAACTTTGTATGGACCAAACAAGACAGCCACAACCTGGATGCAGCCCAGTGACTGTGGGTGTATGACTGCTGCTCCCAACTTTGTAAACGTCTCAATGTAAGGGTGACTTATGTGACCCTGGGCTCCTGGGTCTCACTCAGCCCAGGGGTTGTGAACAGCAAGTACTTATATATGCCTTCTGAATAAAAGAGTGACTAATGGTCATTTATCCCCTAGAAAGTGCTCGGTAGATGTTGAAAAAACACCAAGAAAATTCTGAGATTTTGTTCCAAGTGCCTGGGGCAAAACTGATAGATAACTAATACCTGTATGGCCTTAGGTGGATCACTTCTCTTAAAGCCTCAGTATTTACATCTCTAAAAAGGGAGGGGGGGGGGAGGTATTTGCTGCACCTGGGATTGTCCAGATGAAATGACATAATGTGGAGAAAATGTTCTACACAGTACTGGACACACAGCACAATAAATGTTAACCATTTTGATGGTTATTATGATCATCATCACGCTTTGTTTCCCTCAGATGCCTGGTTATTTTCAAATAAAGTTCGGCCACTGTCTGTGAAAAACTTAGGAGATCATTTGAGGTTTAGGTGCTGTTATTCTCTTCTCAAGAGGGTTTGCTTTTTTTTCTTAAGGTTTTATTTTTTCAGTAATCTCTACATCCAACATGGCGCTAGAACTTACAAACCCCGAGATGGAGAGTTGCATGCCCCACGGATTGAGCCAGCGAGGCACCCCTCAATAGGGTTTACTTTGCTGCAGGTAGCTAGGGGCCTAGGAATCCCAGACCATCTTAATGCAACCAGAGATTGAGATGGTTTGAGAGGACCCGAAGCTGGGTTTTAGACCCTGTGATAACTTGCTTCATTCTTATTCCAAGGGTTTATCCTTTAGGGGTTTCTTTTTTTTTCTTTTTTTTTAAATTTTTTTTTTCAACGTTTTATTTATTTTTGGGACAGAGAGAGACAGAGCATGAACGGGGGAGGGGCAGAGAGAGAGGGAGACACAGAATCGGAAACAGGCTCCAGGCTCTGAGCCATCAGCCCAGAGCCTGACGCGGGGCTCGAACTCACGGACCGTGAGATCGTGACCTGGCTGAAGTCGGACGCTTAACCGACTGCGCCACCCAGGCGCCCCCCTTTAGGGGTTTCAACTAGAAGCTTGGGGGATTTACCTGACCCCCCTGGCCTTGATTACTTTTTGGAGGGTAATACACAAACAAGCATGGGGTGTTACTGGGTCCCCCCACCTCCACTCGCCTCTGTGTGCCCTGAATTCCATTATTTGTCCCATTAGACTCATGAGTCTTAAAAGCTCTGCTCCAGTTGGTAGGCTTTCAGCCCCCTGTTTCAGAATTGGCAGATACCCACTGGGGAGAAGAGGCCCCAAATACTGTCCTCATCTCTCTGGTTTTCCTCCTCCAGACTTGATTCCATAATTCTTCACTGTCCTTTTAGTGCTTGAATGTCTTCAAGTATTTAACCTTCAGTATTTAGAAATATTTTTATTTCGCTTTCCCATTCCTCAGCAGTAGGCAGTTCTGAATTACATGATCTGCCATGACTAGAAGGGAGTTGAACTTTTACAAACCCAGAGTGTTCTCTACCCTGAGCTCTCTTATGGTTCCCATCTCACTCAGGCTCAAAGGCCGACTCCTTACAAAGGCTGAAAGAGCTAATGTGACTTGTCTTGCTGATGTGTCTCTGACCACATCTGCCCTTCTTCCCCAACTCCCGCCACCCCCCCCCCCCCAGCTCATCTCCAGCCAAGCTGGCCTCATTGTTCTTTCTAGCATGGGCAAAATCCACCCTTGCTCCACAGACCCATGCCCTTCCCTCCACTGAGACCGATGTTCCTTCAGCTTGGCGGGGCCAGCTCTGTCGCTTTCTTTAGCTCGCTGGTCAAAAGTTATCTCATCAGTGGGCCATTTCCTGACCACCCTGCCCCAACCCTGGCATCCCGTACCCCTTTCTTTGCTTTATTTCTCAACATAGACTTACCACCACCTAATCTTTATTTAGCTGTATATGGTCTATCTCCTTATTAGAATGTAAAGGCTTGAGGGCAGGGGCCTTGTCTGTCTCATTCACTGTGGGATCTCCTGCTCTTAGAACAGTTCCTGGCAAGTGGTGGGTGCTGAATAAATTTCATGAATACGTGAAAGACCTCTGAAGGCTCTGGATAATTCCTCCCCTTTCTGGGTGAGTCCTGGGCCCAAACTAGAGGGAAGTGATTCTTCTTTGTTCAGTCAATCTCTTTCCCTTCCACATGAAGCAATTTCCCTTGGAGACTTTCCAGTCACACACAGTGGTGTGCAAATGAAATAAAGTGTATAAAAGCACTTTGAAAGCGGGAAGCAACACGAGAGTCCTGGCTATCTAAGACCTATGATCCTGGGGCTCCATTCTTGTGACCAGGGCTGTGATTCTAGAAGGGGTGCTGGTGAGAAAACCTGCTCAGGGACTCCACTCTGAGCCCCATCCTCCCACTGCTTCCTTCCACATCTCCTCCCTCCTGTCTGAAGAATTGCCCATGGCGTGTGCCTCTAATGAAGAGAATGGGGCAGTAGGTGATTCATGGGGAAGTCTGTAGGCCTGCTTGGGGCTTATGACTCACAGCTTCTCCTCTACTAGGAGAATTAGATATCCATATAGCATATCCTGGAAATGTCCTTTGGCAAGGTCTCTAGTGACCATTGGGGATTCTCCCCAAAGAGCTCTCAATAACACCTTCCTGGCACTCACCACGCTGTGTAGATGTATGTCTGTTGCTCCATAAGTACACATGGAAGGGGAAAAAAAGGAGTCAAAAGAGGAGGAGGAGAAAGGGAAGCAGGGGGAAGGGCATCTGCCTCCCCCCCACCCCACCAGACCGAGACACTGAGGGTGGGATCATGCGCTTTTCATTTCTGGGTCCCCAGCTTCCAGTGCAAGCCTTGGGATATAGTTGGGGAAGCGAATGGTTGTATAAATAAACAAACACTGGGGGTCTTGAGGGACTCTAGGATATTGCCAGGCCTGACAGAGCCTGAAGTCAGAAGCAGGGAGAGGGTTGCCAGTGGGAGCCTGGTTGCAGTTTGGCGTCCCCTGTGGATGACACTGGAGAGGCTAAGATAGATGGTCCTGGTTGATACAGATGCTCTAGCCCACAGCCCAGTCATGCTAACTCATGCTAGGCCCCGTGCTGGACGCTGGATCCGCAGAAATGGAGGAGCCATGGTCCCTGAACTTGGAGTCTCTTGACAAGGGGCAGAGATGGATGGTTTGTCCGGATTTTAGGTGGCGAGGTAGGGACGGGACAAGGGGCAGGGAGATGCAGGGGGCAGGGGAGCAGGAAGAGGGGGAAACGAGGAGGAACAGCTTTCCGCAGGGGGCAACCCTTGCGTCCTAGCGGCCAGAAAGGACTTCTGTCTGCAGGGTGATGAGTAGTGGTCTGCAGCCAATTTATTATTCAAAGGATTTTACGGAAGAAAGAAAGGCCCCTACTTGCCCTAGAAATGAATTTCCAAGAGCACTCTTAAGAGTCCCTGCCCTTGTCCCCTTCTTACACATAATGGACCAGAGCCTTGTGCCTCCTATGGTGGGAATTTCAAAGTGTGGGCACCACGGTGCCCTGAGTGAAGCCAAGGAAATGACCTCCAAGGAAGAAAGACTGAACAGTATTAGCTTGGACTCTGGCCCCCGCTTCCTCTCAGTGTGATCGATCATTGGATGAATTGGGCTGTTCTCCTTTCATTGCAGACAGGGGAAGGGTTGCTACAGGCTTTGCTGGCCACCCTCCCTCATCACATCATCATCACCACCAACGGCTAACACTGTCTGAGCAGGAGTCAGAGGCTTCAGGCGGGAGCTTTACGTTCTAGCCCCAAGTGTAGCATCTCCTTGCTGTGTGACTCTCAGCAAGTTACGTAGCCTCTCTGGTTTTGTAGTCCTAAAACGTGGAGAAGATGAACTGAGAGACACCCCATGGACCTGAAACCTACAGAGTACAGTGTCTCATGAAAGTGAGCTAACTTTATTGTGACCGCCTTGTCCCCCCAGCACTGAGTGAGCCATCTGGGCTCCCACTCTTACCTACTTTGAACTTCATGGGGCACAACTAGCATTGAACCCTGGTTACTCTACTAAGAACGGTTTCCCTAGTGTGAAGGGCCCTGCAGCCTTGGAGACGCAAGACCTGGGGTCCCATCTGGACGTTGCTCACCCTATTGTAAAGTCTATAAGAGATTGGGGATGACTTTGTTTCTCGTGTCAGACCAGAGCTAGTGCCTAATTTAGCCATGACAGCTCAGGGTGGGAGAAGAAAGATAAAGGAAGTCTTTCTTTCTTTCTTTCTTTCTTTCTTTCTTTCTTTCTTTCTCTCTTTCTTTCTTTCTTTCTCTTTCTTTCTTTCTTTCTTTCTTTCTTTCCTTCTTTCTTTTCTTTCTTTCTTTCTTTCTTTCTTCTTTCTTTCTTTCTCTCTGCCTGTCTCTCTCTCTCTTTCTTTCTAAAATTATTTATTTTGAAAGAGAGAGAGAATCCCAAGCAGGCTCCGTGCTATCACTGGGCGCAGAACCTGATGTGGGGCTCGAACACATGAACCGTGAGATCATGACCTGAGCCGAAACCAAGAGCCAGATGCTCAACCTACTGAGCCACCCAGACACCCCAGAAGTCTCTTCTGTCGAGCACCTGCTATGACTCTTTGCTTTACATACGTGATTCATTTAATGCTCTTATCTGGCTCTCTGGCAGGGCTTAGCATTATCGCCATGTCACAAAGAACAGTAACTGAGGCATAGATTAAAGGACTTGCCTGGGGCCACAAGTTGGGCTGAACACAGTGTCTAGTCCAAGGCTCAAGTCTGTCAGGGTCTTTCCCCTGCACCAGGAAACACTGGAGTGAGTCCAGCCCTTACTCTGAGGTCCACAATCCTGCTTTAGAATCGGGGAAGGTGGAAAGTGCTAATGATGAACTACTAGATGAGGCTTCCCTACCGAGGGCTGAGGAGAGGATTATGGAATCTTGGGTTCTCAGAACCTTCAATAAATTCACAGGCCATGATTAAACTATGTAAGGCATGGATGCCTGGTTGCCCCCAGTTTCTGTTCTTCTTTCTTCCTCAGTAATAGATTTTTAGCCAGGTACCTGTCTTACATTTCCCAGTCTCCTTTGGAGCCATTTGAATATAAGCCTAGGGTGTATGCAATTTCCAGGGAGTTTTCTTAAAGAGAGGG